GTGGTGTGTTGCCCCCTCAGGTGCCCCCGACACACTCAAAAGTGCCCGTTTTGAGGTAGATGTGAGACCCTGGGGCCTCTTTCTTCTCTAGGTTTCCTCTGGGACTTTTTCCTGTGGGGTTTGGAAAAGCTGAAGTTTAAACAATATCCTTAATGTTCTTAAATTAAAATAATCCCTTAGGCTTAGTTTTTCCACACTTAAATCCTCCACGGTGTTTGCAAAGACACATGGGTACATGTTCTCATGTCAGTTCTCAGCTCACCATAAAAAGATTTAAAACAATTTAATGGCAAATTACGGAAAGAACTTGATGCCGGTCTACATGGATTTTTAAAGTGTCTGCAGGAATGTGTATGTTTTTAAATCATTTTATTTAAAGTTTCATAATAAATACTTCTCCTGTGGGTTTTCCCAGCTGGGAACACAGAAATCAAACAGCTCTGCGTAGGAGAGTTTACATTTTTCACCTCTGGTTTAACATGGGTGGTTCAAAGTCAGCAGGCTGGGTCATTTCTGGAGGTTACAGGAGAGCTGCCCTCCATTTTCATTATAGAGTGCAGATTATTCCAATATTTGCCTATTTTTGGGCACCTTTTAAGTGCTGCCTCAGCCTCCCCCCGGCCACGTACTCCCCCAACTCTTAGGACAGTTTCGGGATGCTCCACATCACAACTTCACCCCCATTAAACCCCAAAAGAGCACATTCAAGACGACAAACCAGTTGTGTTCACACTCCCAGAAAACAATCTTGAAAAAAAAACCTGTTTAAAAGCCAAAAATGATTCAGGGTTGAGTTCCCCCCCCCCATTTTGAGATGATGCTCAGAAATAAACCTCAGCCTGCGGAAAGCACAGGTGAAAACCTCCCCGAGGAAAATGCAAGGCTTCCACTTGAGTGAATGTGGCATTCTTTCATTGTTATTTTTAAAGGGCCTGATTAATGGGCTGGGGAACCAGAAACGTTTTCATTTCTGGGTAAGATCAAACTAAATTCTGTTATCTTTCAGCTTGGCCCCCGTTACCCATCCAGACCCCACAATGTACCCGGCCTCTGTCCCAGCCGGGAGTTGCATCTGGGATAAACTACATGGGGGATAAAAAAAGGAGAAAAAACAAATTTTGGGTAGTGAACATCCAGCCTTGACCCCACCAAGCAAGGTCAGAGCATTTCCATGTGTATTTACCCTCCTGGCCATCATTTCTCCTGCTTGGGCTCAAGCCACAGGGCTCAAAGAGATGATTTCTTTCAAGAAAGAGGTTTGTGCTCATCTCCCGGGCCCCTCCCTGCCTCTTCCACCTTGATTATCCCGAAGGGAAGGTTAAGGAGGGAAGTGGCTTTTGGAGAAACTGGGCCAGGGGAGCGCAGAGGTTCTCTGCGTCCCTGGGAGAGGAGCGGGGCCGATGCTTTCTGCAAAACGAACACGATTCCCATCAGTCCTGCGCCGCTCCCTTTGCACAAATGAGTTTCTTAAAAAAGCACGCAAGAAATGAGCTCAAACGCTCGTCCCAGAGCACGGGGACGCCCGCGGTCACACAGCCGCAGGGTGCGGGGTGGTGGCAGAAACCGCCCAGCATCTCCCGCACCCGCTGGCATGTGGACGTGGGGCAATGGGGTGGCTGTTTCTGCCCCCTCCCCTCATATTTGCCCCCTGTGCTGTTACCCCCTGCTTGCACCGTCGTGGTGTTTCCAGCACTACTGCAAGAAGGGAAGAAAAGGGACAAGGTGGAGAGAGGTTGAAGCTTTGCGGGGAGCCCATCACCATCAGGGCTGGGGTGAACGGCTGAGTTAATTAACTATGTCAAAAACTGCCCAGAAACAAAAAAAACCCAACCTCCAAACGGACAACAAAACCAAATCCTTGCATGCCTAGCAGAGAGCGAGAGGGCAGGGGGGCGAGGAGGGCAGAAAGGAGTGCTTCAAATTAGATCAAAATCCAACGAGCTAATGCTGGCGATTGGAGCTCTCCAGAAATTAAAGCTGTTGAACTGCAGCAGACTGCAGTCCTCTTCGTCGGAGATGTCCTGGCTGACCTGATCCCTCTCGCCGACGAGCTTGCCCAGCCCTCCTTTGGGTTTGTAGAGGGCCATGTCGCTGAGCCCCAGCCCCTCCAGCTCCGCCACGTCCAGCCGCGGGATGGGCATCCTCCAGTAGATGAAGGAATCGTACTGGCTGCTGATGGTGTCCAGCATTTTCAGGCTGTGAAGGCAAAGGGGGCGAGGGGAGAGAAGAGGAGGAGAAAAGCTCTACCAAAGGCACAGGACAGCTGCCCCAAAGCGGCTGAAATTCTCGGGCGTTGCCATATTGACCAAATCCCCCCTGCCCAATTGATGGGGCAGGAGAGTCGTAGAGGTTTGACTCCAGGCTGGGTCTAAATGCAGACTTGAGCCCTGCCACTGGTCTTATCCATGGCCTTGGTCACAGCCCTTCTCTGAGCCGTAATTTGGAGGGGCGTGCAATGGGACTTGTTGCCCCGTGCCTCAGTTTCCCCATCTGCACAAAGGGGAACGTGGGAAGGAAGGCCACGGTGGGGGCTAGCCCCTTCCCAACCGCATCTCCCGACATCCATCCTGGGCACCTCGATGCCTGTGGGGTGGCATCAGTGGGGAGCAAAGACGGGCTGTCCCCCACATCCCGCTCTGCCAGGAGGGACAGAAACCGGGATCCAAATGAACCATTTTTGCACCAAACTGTGCAAAAGGGTCTCGCCCTTTCGCTGTGCCAAGCCCCCCGTGGAGCGGGCAGTGAGGGGGGTCCCTGCGCATCCCCCCGCTGCCCGCAGAGCCCACACTGTCCCTCCCTCCCCGGCCCTCGTGGCATCGCATCACCCCGGGGAACCGCGACCGAACCCTCTAGAAAGGGCTGGAAGAAGCATCGCTCAGCGTTGCCACTGCACCCCACCCACCCCGCCGGTGCCGGCTGCGTGCCCGCCATCCCGCCCGCTGTGCCATCCCGCCGTGCCATGCCGCAGAGCCCCTCCCGCAACCCCACCCGGATCCACGGAGAATTGGGAAAGAGCGGGAGGGGACGTGGTTCAGCTTTTTCTCCGGCACGGCATGGCCTGAGCTGAGTCACTGCCGCGCTGACTTGCTTTTCCCTGGCAGTATTATGTCATTCACCTCTGCGCATTTGGCAACAGACGTGGGGGAAAAAAAAAATCAACGAGCTGACCCAAAATATCCTCCTTTTCCCGCTGATTCCCCCGTTTTAAGCCCTGGGAATCCGAATCCTAAAGGATGATTCAGACATAGCTTGAATCATGCCCTCCCTCGCTCCCCATCCATGCGATGTGGAGTGACCAGCTGCTAAATTTAAGATTCCCGATGTAACTCAGAGGCTATGAAGGGCTCCTGTGTCACCCCTTGGGTAAACTGAGCCACGGTGCTTTGAAATAGCCTCCTCCCCAGGGATATATCCCTGGGTATTTTTCTGCACAACAGCAGCGAATTATTTAACAGTGACGGATGTTGTGGACAATGGCTTTTAAAGCTTCAAAGGGGGGAAAAGGGACTTTAGCGACAAGAAATAAAAAATTCCAATCTCCAGAAAAGGCAATCGATACGGGGAAAAAAAACCCTCCTGCATTGCGTGTCACCCCCGAGGAAGAGCATTTCCCCTGGGATCAGTGTGGTCCGCTTGTCCTTTGGGGGCAAAAACACCTTCATCCTCTTAATCCCTGCTTACCTCCCCCGCCCAAAAAATCCTGGGGTGCCAACGCTCCCCTCCACACAAATCTCTTCCCAAAAAAACCATCCTCTTGCTTTTCATCCCCCTTTACCCACATCCCGCCATCCCGTACCTGTCGAGGATGGATGGGCTCGATGCCGGCCGGGCTCTTTGTGCTGGGAAGCCGCAGGCGTCGCAGCGTCGCTTTTGTCTGCTGGCGCGTCTGGGTCTGCAATGCAGCCCCTCGAAGCCGCTCGATGAATTCCCCTTCGTCGTGGGGGGGGAGACGATGGGCAGATGAGTCAGCGGCTCCCACCCGCGCCGGGGAGGGGGAGGACGGCCGACGGGGACGCACAGGAGGGGATCCTGCGTGCTGGACCCCCAGGATGGAGATATATTAAACTTACAGAGGATGGGAGATTTCCCGCAGCGATTCCTGATTCACTCTTCAGCCTCCAGCTCAGAATTTGGGGGGATAACGGACCGTTTTCAGCTTCCAAGGAGCTGGCAAAGGTTTCTTTTTACCTGCGTGCGAAGAAATGGTGTGCCGCGGTACCCCCAAACCTTAGGCTGTAGGAGGGCACTTTGCGGGTCAAGCGCAGGGAGGTTTGGTGCAAAAAAACCCCAGATAGGGTTTTTTTTTGTGGTGTTGCTGAGCCTGGAGGTGTTTGGTCCTGATGCTGCATGGCAAAAATATCTTGGCTTTGTGTCTGAAGCCAGACGTGGAGCTAGAAATAGGAGGGAGACACCCAAAGCCGGCATCGCTGCCAGGGCTGGGAGAAGGGCTGCCTCAAAGCCAGGGGTGGGGGGCACCTCGCGCAGCCCCACTGCCCCCCACTCCCCACCACAGCACCCGTGGGCACCGGGCCATAAACGCGCGCCCTGCGCTGGGGCGGGGTCG